TCTTGATATTAAAAGATGAATTGTGTTCTTGTTGATTTAAAAACGGATTAGAACCCTAGGTTGTACCGTGAAATTCGTGTGGTATTATCCTTGGTGTATTGGGCGGGAATTCACATGTTTGGGTGTTAATTATGTTTAGGAAAGCATGATAGGATATGTGCCGCATGTTTCTTGATTATGATCCGTTAATTGTCTTCGTATTATTGTCAATTGCGTTCGAAAGTGTCTAAGCATGGTTAGCTGCACCCGCTGCCCGGAACAGTAACGCCGGCGGGTGAACCCTCACCCACCGGCTACCCGCTGGAAAATACCCCAACCCGGGAATTTGGCTTCCCCGTTTGATGTCCCCTCGTCCCCCGTGGTGTCCTAACGGACCCCTCCCATTGTGCCTATGTCTAGTTTGATGTTCGGACACCATTCGTAGGTTGAAAGAGTCTTGTATGTTGCATGCTAGATGAATGGGTATCCCGTTGGCCTAGGCATAAGAAGTATGAACCCCTTAGGACTATTCTTAGTGTGGATGACCACGCATAGATTTCGTTATACGATTTCTCCCCCTTCCCAGTATGCTAATGTGGGCTGCCTGTACTTGCTATGTGTTATGTGTGCATGGTTACCCCAATTTGGTTGCAATCAAATTGGTTATACGGGCAGTTGGATGGGTTGAGAACCATCCTAACTGTTAACAAGGCCGGTTGTGAACGGTCAGGTATATAAATATTATATAGGGCTGCGGTCCACCGTTTGGTTGCGATCAAACGTTTCTACATGAGCTGCGGTTCATATTTCCTGGCTGCGGTCAATGACATACTCTTGGGCTGCGGTCCACTGTTTGGTTGCGATCAAACTATGATGAGCTGCGGTTCATCGGTCGGTTGCGATCGACCCCTCCGTATTGTGAGACGGGGCAGGGTGCTGCGGTGTAACACCCCCCCAAAACAACAAGACTTAAAACGAGTCTTAACACATGCAGATTAACAACAAACACTAGCACAGCGGAAGATAAAAAGATAACTGGACAAAAGGAATCCAAACGGGGTGTTATGCCACGTATACCACACTAGGTATACGCTACGGCGACAATCTGCAAGTGTAACACTATCCCAAAAACAATAAACTAAAACAATCTAGAGACATTGGCACACAGGTGCTAAGCTACTGGCTCTAGACATCGCGCTCGACTACGCATCACCTGAAAGATACAAAGATAAACATCGGGGCGACGCCCGGTCAGCGAGAGATGCTGGTAACCCACCAATACCGTTAAGTATCATAAATAGGTAGATATATAATATGAAAACCATTTTCGAAACGGAATACATACATATATATATATATATATATATATATATATATATATATATATATATATATATATATATATATATATATATATATATATATATGTCAAAAGCCAAGATCAAAAGACAACACAAGACTCACCACTAACAAGGATAACACCGGGAACACGTCCCAACCACAAAGATTAACCACACACAAGGATAAAGACTCACCCAACGGCAACACATGCCAAAACACCACACCACAAGCCTCCGTGACTACACACGTCACGAGAGAAGAGAACTCATCACTACAACGGCTTCACAAGCCCTCGTGACATCACACATCACGAGTTGATATGCCTTCCTTATGCCCTGTTCCAACCTTGTGGCTACCCCCAACCTTGTACCTTCGGTGCCAACCATTACCTCCAGAAAGCCCCTGTACAGCCAAGTCCAACCTTATTACGAATGAAGTTTCGTCCCCGAAACTTGGTTATTACGAATTAAGAACGAAAGGTAACAAGGAAACAAAATTGTGACAAGAAGTCCAAGAATATCCCTTTTGGTCAAAAACTCCAAAAGTTCTCACAAGGTTCCAAGGCAAAGAGAAAGACATTACGATTTCAAGGATAGGCAAGAGGTCAACAAACGGATAGATTGGCATCAAGAACTCTAACCTCAACACAACGACCAACTTCTAGACAACAACCAAGAACCCAACAACTAACCCAAACACCATCTAACACACTAGCTAAACAGCAAGGCAACAAACAAAGCAAGCAAGCACACAAAGCACACAACAACCTAAAAAGACGAGATACCTTCCACAAACAACTCAAGGTACCGCTCTCGCATCGATGCCTCCAGCTCCCAAGTAGCTTCTTCAACCCCATGATGAGGCCACCAAACCTTTACCATCCTAACAGATTTACTGCGAGTGTCCCGAGTCTTGAAGTCCAAAATTCTGAGCGGCCTTTCTTCATAAGACAAATCTTCATCTATCGGTAACACTTCCGGTGATAAAACATGAGTTGGATCATGAACATATCTTTTGAGCTGTGATACATGGAACACATTATGCACTCTGTCCAACTCCAAGGGCAACGCCAAACGGTAAGCCAAACTCCCAATTCTCTCCAAGATCTCGTACGGACCTATAAATCTAGGGCTCAACTTCCCTTTCTTCCCAAACCGCATTACTCCCCGGGTGGGAGATACTTTCAACCAAACCTTATCCCCAACTGAAAACTCCACCTGTCTTCTAGCCAAGTCAGCATAAGACTTTTGACGATTCTGAGCCGCTTTCATCCTTTCTTGAATCTGTTTAACTTTCTCGGATGTGTCCAACAAGTATTGTGGCCCCAACACTATCGGATTAACAAGATCCTCCCAACAAAGCGGACTGCGACACTTCTGTCCATAGAGAGCCTCATAAGGTGCCATGCGAATACTCGAATGATAACTGTTGTTGTAAGAAAACTCTATCAAATCCAAATGGTCCTCCCAAGATCCTTGAAAATCTAACATACAAGCTCTCAACAAATCCTTGATAGTCTGTATAGTCCTTTCTGTTTGTCCATCGGTGGCTGGGTGGAAAGCTGTACTGAGACTTAACTTAGTTCCAAGAGCTGCTTGCAAAGATTTCCAATATTGAGACAAGAACCTTGAATCCCTATCGGAGACAATATCCCTCGGAACTCCATAATACTTTACCACCTGGTTGACATAAGCTTGAGACAACTGTGTCATTGTCCAGGTCTCCTTCATTGCGATGAGGCGGGCGGTCTTCGTCAAACGATCAACTATCACCCAGATTTTGTCCTTACCCGAACGGGTCGTCGGTAATCCTCCCACGAAATCCATAGATATAGAATCCCATTTCCCTTATGGAATTTCTAACGGTTGTACCAACCCCTTAACCTTACAACGTTCCGCTTTAACCTTTTGGCAATTAAGGCATTTCCCAACAAACTCTACAACTTCCTTCTTCATATTAGGCCACCAGAAGAAACCCTTCACGTCCTTGTATAACTTGTCTCCTCCGGGGTGAACCGAATAGGGTGTGTTATGACCTTCTTCCAAAATCCGTCGCTTCCACTGATCACATGACGCGGGTATGCACACACGGCTTTTGTACCTCAACACTCCATCCGCGGGTAACTCAAACCGTCCCCCTTTTCCTCTAGCTAGGTCATCCCTTACCTTGGTCAAGGACACATCCTTTTGCTGCTCTTCCTTGATCTCTCCCAGAAACGTAGGTACAATCCTTAAGTTATAACAACGAACTTCTGCCTCCACATCTCCTTGTTCCACCACTTCCAAACTCATCCGTTGAAGCTCCTTGCAAAGCTCATCGCCACCACCCAAATAGAGCTAGCGGTATGCTTCGATTTCCGACTTAGGGCGTCCGCCACTACATTAGCTTTTCCTTCGTGATACTGAATATCTAACTCATAGTCCTTGATGAGTTCTTGTGGTCCGTGAATATCTTGCAACGCACCCCATAGAGATAATGCCTCCAAATTTTCAAAGCAAACACCACAGCGGCCAATTCCAAATCATGTGTAGGGTAGTTCTCTTCATGAACCTTAAGCTGACGTGAGGCGTAAGCAATCACTCTCCCGTTCTGCATCAACACACAACCTAGTCCCTTCTTGGACGCATCGCTGTATACCTCAAAACCTCCCGTTCCCCTGGCAGAATTAAAACTGGTGCAGACGTGAGTCTCTCCTTCAACTCCCGGAATGCTGATTCACAAGCTTGATCCCAAACGAAAGGCACTTCTTTTCTTAACAACTTAGTCAACGGTTGAGCCACCTTGGCAAAATCCAAAACAAACCTCCGATAATAACTTGCTAACCCAAGAAAACTTCTTACTTCCGACACCGATGAGGGTGCAGCCCATTCCTTTATTGCCCGTATCTTGTCTGGATCCACAGAAATCCCTCTACTATCAATCACATGGCCTAGAAACGTCACACTGTCTTTCCAAAACTCGCACTTAGAAAACTTGGCATACAACTGCTTTTCCCGCAAGATTTGAAGTACCGTCCGAAGGTGTCCAACATGTTCCTCCCTATCTTTTGAATAAACCAAGATATCGTCGATGAACACGATCACAAAATCATCAAGGTGAGATTTGAATACTCTGTTTATCAGGTCCATGAAAACTGCAGGGGCATTAGTCAAACCGAAAGGCATAACCGTAAATTCGTAGTGACCGTACCGAGTCCGAAACGCAGTCTTAGGGATATCCTTGTCTGCTACTCTTATCTGATGGTACCCTGACCTCAAGTCAACTTTGGAGAACACTCCCGCGCCACGTAATTGATCAAACAAGTCATCTATTCTTGGAAGAGGGGATTTATTCTTAATGGTAACTTGATTAAGCTCCCGGTAATCGATACACAACCTCATACTCCCGTCCTTCTTCTTTACAAACAACACCGGAGCTCCCCAAGGCGATGCACTTGGCTGGATATAACCCTTGTCAAGGAGTTCTTGCAACTGAGCCTTCAATTCTTGCATTTCTGGCGTAGCCAAACGATATGGGGCTTTAGAGATGGGTGCAGTGCCCGGCACGAGATCCACTGAAAACTCCACTTCCCTGGCAGGCGGCATACCCGGTATTTCTTCGGGAAAAACATCAAGAAATTCACGGACTACAGGTATCGTATGAGCCACTTCCTCCTTTGCCTCCAAGTTCTCGACGGAACACTAGTACACATCATTGCCCTTGTCCTTGTACCTCTTCATCTTTACCATAGACACCAACTTAATTCCGGGTTCTTCCATCTTTCCACGGTATGACACTCTCTTCTCGCTGGGTCCTCGTAGCACTATCTTCTGATCTTTGCACAAGATTTGGGCTCTAAACTGCCCCAACCAGTCCATACCTAGGACCACATCCATCCCGTCCAAGTCGTACTGGATTAGATCGCTCAGAAACTCTTCTCCTTTGATACAAATCTTGATGCCCTCAAAAAGACGGTCACACACCCTAACTTCTCCTGACGCTACCTTCACATTAAACCTCACTCCCGCGCCCCCAGATAAGCCCAACTTCTTCACGAGGCCGGGTGATATAAACGAGTTAGATGCCCCTAAATCAAACAAGACTGTTGCTGGCACAGATTGCACGAGGAAGGTTCCCACTACTACGCCACTGTCACTTGTTCGGACTTCATTTAAGGTGAGCACCCTCTCTTGAGATGACCCTACCGTCGGATGATGAACCTCTATCCTTCCATACTCTCTTACATCACGGAGTACCGGCACAGAAGCTGCACTAGAACTTACTCTTGTGGACGTACCACTCCGGATCCACCGTTCAACTACCCCAGAAGCACTGCTAGATTCGGCCAACCGAGATCTCTTAACCACTTCACTCACATCTTCAAACACTGCGATTCGCTGGCGAGGAGGCATCACAGACTTCTGCTACAACAACAAGGTTACCAAAAGAGCAAGAAAGCAAGCAAGACAGAAAGCAACACACAACTCACCGCGCAACCTAGAGTCCTAAGCCAAACACGTAGCTCCTTAAGGTCGCTTAGAGGTCTCAAAACACACTTAAACACTTAGAAAGTCTAGACTCAACTCTTCCTAGGCTCTAAACCAAGGTTCAAACCTAGGCTCTGATACCAACTGTAACACCCCCCCAAAACAACAAGACTAAAACGAGTCTTAACACATGCAGATTAACAACAAACACTAGCACAGCGGAATATAAAAAGATAACTGGATACAAGGAATCCAAACGGGGTGTTATGCCACGTATACCACATTAGGTATACGCTACGGCGACAATCTGCAAGTGTAACACTATCCCAAAAACAACAAACTAAAACAATCTAGAGACATTGGCACACAGGCCTCAACAACACTGTCTAAAGACACAGGTGCTAAGCTACCGGCTCTAGACATCGCGCTCGACTACGCATCACCTGAAAGATACAAAGATAAACATCGGGGCGACGCCCGGTCAGCGAGAGATGCTGGTAACCCACCAATACCGTTAAGTATCATAAATAGGTAGATATATAATATGAAAACCATTTTCGAAACGGAATACATATATATATGTCAAAAGCCAAGATCAAAAGACAACGCAAGACTCACCACTAACAAGGATAACACCGGGAACACGTCCCAACCACAAAGATTAACCACACACAAGGATAAAGACTCACCCAACGGCAACACATGCCAAAACACCACACCACAAGCCTCCGTGACTACACACGTCACGAGAGAAGAGAACTCATCACAACAACGACTTCACAAGCCCTCGTGACATCACACATCACGAGTTGATATGCCTTCCTTATGCCCTGTTCCAACCTTATGGCTACCCCCAACCTTGTACCTTCGGTGCCAACCATTACCTCCAGAAAGCCCCTGTACAGCCTAGTCCAACCTTATTCCTCCGGGACCGTCGTCCCCCACCTATAACCACCAACGAAAACCCACCAATTCACGGCAACACATGCCCGGATAACACAATGTTATCCCCCAAACACGTGGACTCAGCCACAACTCCATGAAATCACGTCACGGCCACCACGAGGACCGCTGCAATACCTTGGTGACTAGCGTCCCATACCACTAATCGTGCAATCTAGGTAAAGCCACACACGCACCACCACTCACACGAAACAAGCAACAAATTGCAAAAGAGGTACGAAACATACTCAAACAAGAGATAGGTCACCACCCATCGACAACAACGACGCTAGCATTAGGATAATAACTAGCAAGCTCAACAACGAGGAAACTCAAGATAGTTCCGAGTAACACACAAGACACCACACGGTTCAACGAAACACAATGTTGAACACTTAGCACGATTCACAACACCAAAGATCCTACATGGATACCTACCATAAAGCTCTAGACCTACGAAACATCAAGAAGACGCTCAAATAGTTCCACAAAAGAACAACGGGAGGCCAAAAGATCAAAGACCGAGACAAACAAAACACGGGGAACAAATCCCATCTCAACTCCAACGTGTTCCCCGCGGGTGGACCCACGGGTAGGCCCCTACCCGTGGTTCTGCCCGCGGGTACAACACCCACATTCCCGTGTACCGGCGGGTGGGCGGCGGGTAGGGCTCTCCCCGCCGTTCCGCCCGCAGGTACACGCTCCTGTGTCAAACAATCCCTTCGGGGATTTTCTCCTTCAAACACAAATTCAAGTCCAAAACATGCCAAATCTCACCAAGCACAACAAAATGACTTGAACCAAGGAAAATGCCAAGCAATGGCACAAAGGAAACCTAAACACAAGCTCTAGATATGCAATATCACAAGATGAATGCATAAACACTCACATTTCATAGCAAAACACATGTAGAAGCCAAGAAATCATATATAGGTAAGCAAAATAGGTTTTGTAGAGCATGGGTTACCTCTTGAAGACAAAAAGACTCTTCTTACACCACAACAAGCTCTCCACTAAGCTCACTAGCCAAACCCACTTCAAGATCAAACCAAAAGATCATAAAGATCCAACCTTTAAGAAAAAGACAACTAAGATGGAACCAAAAAGACTAGACAAGCTTAGATCTTACCCTTCTAGATGCCAAAATAGAGGAAAGATTGAATCTTGGAAGCAAAACTTGGAATCTTGACAAAGGCTTCTTTTGGCTTGAAGAACAAGCTACTTTTGTTTTCTAGAGAGAAGGTAGAGATATTTTCTAGGAAATGTAAGGGAATGAAATGAAGAAGTCTTCTAGGTTTAGGTTACAAAACTAGCTCTTGGTGAAAAGACAAGGATACCCTTACTAACTCTTAGAAAGTGTAAGGAACAAGGGAACTCCACTCAAAGCACAAGGTACAACACCACTTAAAGATTGACTAGTCAAATACTAGTCCTTGAGTATAAAAAATCAGGATTTTAGGAATCAACTCCTCAAAAGAAATAGAATTAATTACTCAATTAATTCATGGTTTGGAGTGTGGATTTTTGGGGTGTCACATGCGGGGCCGTGTCAGAGCTATATGCGCTGACCCTCATGTATGGGCATGCGATTGGTTCTGTGGCGCCAACAAAGTGTGCTATGTGTGAGATGAGAAGGATTGATGTTATGACTGTTATGGAAACGTGACCATAAGACTCTTGCTTGTAAATATACATGCTTAATCTTGATTGTTGGTTGTGCTCATCTATAACTGTGCCCTATGTTGAGAACTGTATATGCTTGATTATGACCGTTGATTGTGTGTACCCCTATTTGTCGAGTCGGTTCCCTGATTTGAAAGCTAGAGTATCTTAGGATATATCTTCATGCTTCGAAATGACTTTTCGTATATGATATGAACCTAATCCAAGATTCAAATAAATGGAGTATTGTCCCAAGAATGCTCTCAATGTGAAGATAGAGATGGATCAAAATACCTTAAACCTCATGAGAAACCCTTTGTCTCGAATCCTCAAAGACTTGGAAGAATCCCATTGTAGCTTCAAGTACCTCGATGATGCAATCTTCAATCAACTAGAGTCGGATCTAGTTTCCTTCGATTCAAGAACGAGTCCATGAACCTAAATCTAAGGTTGAAGAAAGTAAGATTGATTCGAGTCCACGAATCAATTTGCTAGTCGAGTCCACGACTAGCCACTAATTGAGTCCACAATTAGCCATAAGGTTTCTTACACAAGTGTAAAGAAAAACTTAAGAATTTTATTGAATTCAAGCCTGTTCAAAACTGATATGGATGTGCCCTATTTATAGGTATAGGGCAGCATTGTAATCTAAATACAATGGGAAAAAGAGTCCTAAACCTAATCTAGAAAACAAGTAAATAGAGTTTTATTTAGAAAAGGATTTAAGGAATCCTTTCTAAATACAACTAGTGTTTTCTCTTTTATGCCAAACAATTTAAATTAATGATGACCAAAAATAATAGGGCTGATTTGGGTCTAATTTAATCACCAAAATCAGCACTTAAACAATTATAAAAAGCCTTGAGTTCTTCGCCATCATATGCAATTGGGCTTGAATTGGATTTCCACCATTTTTGAACATAACCAATAAAGATTTGTCTTAATTGTTTGGACTTAGACCTTGTGATTAGCCCAACTGGTACTCTTAATGGATCTTTAGTAGTTTGGGTTGCATTATCCTCCCCTTCTTGAAAATGATTCGTCCTCGAATCTGTGCAATGATATGGAGACAAGTATGAAACATTGAAAGTAGAAGAGACATTGTATTCTCCTCTAAGATCAACCTTATATGCATTATCTCCAATCCGTGATATAACTTGAAATGGGCCATCTCCACGTTGGTTCAGCTTTGACTTTCTTTCGCGGGGAAAACGGTCTTTGCGCAAGTGAATCCACACCCAATCTCCAGGCTCGAATGTGATCTTTTTCCTTGTCTTGTTCACTCGAGCAGCCATTTGTTCGTTCCTTTTCTCAATTTGTTCTTTGACTTTAACATGCATCTCCTTGATCTTCTTGGCACGTTCTTCTCCATCTAAGCTATCCTGCAGATTGTAAGGCAAAGCAAGTAAGTCTATGGGAGATAACGGATTGAAACCATACACAACTTCAAAACGAGACATGTTAGTGGTTGAATGTATTGCACGATTATAAGCGAATTCAACATGAGGCAAACATTCTTCCCATGATTTTAGATTTTTAGAGATCACACTTCTAAGTAATTGGGATAAGGTTCTATTAACTACTTCTGTTTGTCCATCAGTTTGAGGATGACAAGTAGTAGAAAATAGCAACTTAGTCCCAATTTTAGCCCACAGAACACGCCAAAAGTGGCTAAGAAATTTAGAATCTCTATCAGAAACAATAGTCTTAGGGATGCCATGCAATTTAACAATCTCAGCAAAGAAAAGATTAGCAATATGAGTTGCATCATCAGTTTTGGTGCAAGCAATAAATCTAGCCATCTTACTAAAACGATCAACTACAACAAAAATAGAATCTTTTTTCTTAGAACTCATAGGTAACCCTAGAACAAAATCCATAGAAATATCAAGCCACGGGCCGCTAGGAACAGAAAGTGGTGTGTAAAGCCCTTGGGGAAGTGATTTGGACTTAGCATGGTGACATGTAGTACAATTATTCACAAAAGTCTCAACGTCTTTTTTCATTCTAGGCCAATAGAAGTGTTCATGCAACACATCATAGGTTTTAGAAATACCGAAGTGTCCCATAAGAACACTTCCATGTGATTCAGTGATCAAACTCACACGCAAGGAACAATTAGAAATGCACACTTTATTTTCCTTAAACAAAAACCCATCTGACAAGTAAAACTTTCCCAAAGGAGATCGTACACAAGAGGTGTAGATCTCGCCAAACACTGAATCACTAGCATAGAGAGACTTAATGAAATCAAAACCAAGAAACTTAGCATGTAAAGTAGCAAGTAAAGTATATCTCCTAGATAAAGCATCAGCCACTTT